AAGTTTAACAGAATCTATAGAAACCCATTAGATTTTCCTGGTTTAATCAATCGCAATATAAAGCCGAGCCGTAGGTCATAAGGGGCGACAGAGGGAAATAAGCCAGACGAGCAGCAGCGTCTTCGTAATAACAACTTTTCTACGTGGTAGAGCCATGCTGCAGCTATATTAATAGTATAGTTGTAGCACCAATGGATCGGCTCGACTGGGAAAGGACCACGCCCTCACAGAATACCAGCGTAAAATAGCAACTTAACGCTGCTGTGTTTCGTATGGTGAGTGTAGAAAACCGGAGAGCCTTAATACTGGAAAAGAGGCATTCTATGTTAGTCATCACGGGTGACAACGCATCTGCATTGTAATTCGCAAACGAAGATAGATGTAGATGTCTATGGGCCACAGCAACCACTTACCACCAGGTGGACTGTGTGCTCGTTTGTCACCCTTATACTATAAAAATAACTGCGGTTGCCAACCTGCCTGCCAAACGTGACAACTATGGCAAATATCCTTCTATGAGGCAATTTACGGGGAGGCCTGTATTCATCAGTAGACTTTTGATATTCGTAATTACGGGACAATATGTGGTAGTGGATATCTTTATCGCTTATTATATTATACTAGCTGTTTCCCGCGACTTCGCTCGCGTGTTACAGTTTTTATATTTTGGCGCGGAACCCTAATTCTTTTTCTAAAATAAAAGTAGCCTAAGTTACTCCTTGTGATATCAGCTATTTGAACGTGAAGGTCCCGTCAAAATCGTTCCAGCCGTTTCGGAGATTAGCCGGCACAAACAGACTGACAGACAAAAATTGTATTTTAGTTATAAGTACCGTATTTACTTTCATATGCATTTAGTAAAAAACTGTAATTTTGACATTACAAACAGACACTTCAATTTTATTTATTTGTATAGATTACTTATATGTATGTAATTAACAGATAATAATTCAATTGCGAAGTAAAATCAGTAGGTACGTACTTGAATTCGAAGGCAGAGTGCTCTTAACAGGATCCCTAGACCCTTATCACTGTCGCCTGTCAAAGTTGCTTGCGCTGCCTTAGCTACCCAATTTACGAGCGGCTTTGTTATTGTCACTTCTATAAACTACAGTTTCCGAGGTCAAAACGCCTTTATATTATTATTTTAGTGTCAAATCTCTATTATTACAATGCCTTTCAGCATCAGGATGGGTTCGGTATTTATCACTTTGATAGGCACTTTTGCTAACTAGTTAATGTATCTCCATAATTTAGGTTCTGATTTCAGATTCCTATGAGTGGTAATATTGGACGTGGTGTGCCTATGTCTGTTACTGTATAATAGTAGTTTTTTAACTTCCCGCTTTGAAAATTAATAATTCAAAAGTTGGAAGTTATAGATTTCGGTCCGATTTTGAGAATGTGAGTTTTCATCAGACCTCCACGTTTTGAGGTCCTAGGAAGCCGTTCCAACTTTTTCCGGCTGGACGTTCGGCTGTGTGTGTGTGTGTGTGTTTGTGTGTGTATGCGTGTGTATGTGTGTATGTATGTAAATAAAATTTTATCGTACGATATCTTTAGAACCAATCAACCGATCGAGATGGGTGATAGATCGATAGATTAGATTTTCAAGTCAAAAACAAAAATTAAATAGATTTAGAATATGCGGGAAGTTTCAGAGATGTCAGCAGGATCAACAGGATTTTTTATTATAAAAATGATAGTAACAATGCTATTAACACCACTAATTTACCCGTTAACCCCTCTAGATAAGTTTCTTTAAACAGAATAAGGCTGACAAACGAACAAATAGTTGAAATATATAAATCAAAATGCAGAAGCGTTTTTACCCTTGAGGACTCATATGGAATGCTTCGCTTCCAGTGAAAAAAGTCTCCGATTCTCAACACTCAACGCAAAAAATACCGCAGTAAGCTGCTATTTTACGCTGGTATTCATTGAGAGCCTGGATTTTTCCTGGTCGTGCCGACCTATTTGTGCTACAATCATAATTTAGCTGCAGCATGGCTCTACCACGTACGATAACGTATAAGAATGCCATGCTACCATTAAAATTGGTCTCCGTTTTTCTACAATCACCATACGAAACGAAACAGCATCAAGCTTCTATTTTATAATGGTTTTCTGTGATCTGTTTATGTACCTACAGAATTTATTAGCGTGGTCCTTCCCGGTCGAGGAGATTTATTCATGCTGCAACATAATGTGGCAGCAGCGTGGCTCTATCGCGTATAAAATGCGTCTGACTTGCATTGACTAATGACATTTAAATATGAGGATATCCAAATTAGCATTTTTCCTTATTATACCTAATATAATAATAATAATCTATATTTTTCTTAATTATTGGCTCACAAATACATACACATAAACAAAGAGGTACTAGTTGCATAGAAATATGAGCTATTGATAGAATTGATTGTCTCTTCGACGAGACTGCATCTCCTTGCATTCCCTATCGAATTAACCACGGGCAGTGCTCCGAGGGTTAACTAGGATTAGTTTTAGGTGCCGAGTATCACATTCATTCATATCGACATGATTCCAAATATCGTCTATAGCAGCTTGTAAATTGTCAATCCTCATAATATCTGCGCTTTTTTTAACATTTTTTACCACACACGACCAACTTGTTATTTTTTTTTATAGAATTAAGGGTGACAAGCATGCACACAGTCCACCTGTTAGTAAGTGGTTGCTGTGACCCATAGACATCTACATCTGTCTCCGTTTGCTAATTAAAATGCAGATGCGTTGTCAGCCGTGAGGACTAAGATAGAATGCCACTTTTCCAGTAAAATGGGATTCCGATTCTCTACACTCACTATACGAAACACAGCAGCATTAACCTGCTATTTTACGCTGGTATTCTGTGAGAAGCAATCATTAAACCCTTAAGTAACCCTTAGTACCTTAAGTTGTAATTATATTAAAAACTCAATGGACTCAAAAATTGAGAAAATGAATTAATCTTATTCATTATGTAAGCATGTTGACGGTAATAGCCCAGGACTAATTAATTAATAGTTTTTTAGTATTTAAAAAACGGGACAAGAGCAAGACTAGTGCTCTGAGCGTAAACTTAATTATGTATGTAGGGAAAAAAGGTGTCAGGTATAAACACACATAAAAAACTACAATAGAATTGAGTACCGCCTCCTTTTTGAAGTCAGTTAAAATAAATCAAACCAACATATGAGTAAAGCATAACAGCGCAATACACACTTTAGTTGAAAGGATAGCTTTCGACCTCCGTGTAGTGGTCCTCAGAGCGGGGCATGTGGTCAGCTCTAAAAGCCTTATTCGGTAGAGGAATCTAAATCGGACTTCGGTTAGTGGCTTTGCGAAACAGCAGCCATGAAATTGGATCGCACAGTTGGACCGAAAACCGCTATAGAGTAGTCGTATATTTCATTGAAAAGCGTTAGTCGGGAATAACAGGGTTCAGTTAAACGCTTAATTTATAGCTTTCATGTTTGAAAGATTGCACTTCAGTTTTAAAACGTAATATTTATTGATAATTTTTGCCTAAGTGCCTCTCTGTACATCCACGTTTTACCAAAAGGGGCTAAATTCATTCAATCAAATCAAACCAAATAGTTTATGGCAATATACTTTAAGAAATGCAATGCTTTCTTTGGTTTTTTTTTATAGGAAAGGGTAACATAGATCACACAGTCCACCTGATGGTAAGTGGATAATGTCGTCCATACATATCTACATTTATACTTGATCAAAATTAGAAATGCAGATGCGTAGTCACCCCTGAGGAATAAGATGGAATGCCTCGTATCCAGTTAAAAGGGTCTTCGGTTTTCTACACCCACCAGGGCCATAGAATTCTCCCAGAGCTTAGATTATTTGCAATAAATACACTTGCCAGGCAAACAAAAAAAGCAAAAATGTATTCGCCGTTTTAAGTTGCTCCCTTTATCTGTTTCTTTCTTGAATCATTATTATTCATGAAAAGAACCCCTTGTGCCAGCGGCGATGATGAGTTGCGAATACAGTTTCTTTAGGAACTTCACCTTGCGGGGATCTCATTGATCGCTGGTATCTACAGCAAATGGTACTCGGGCATATATTTTGTTAATAATAAACTACTTTCTCATTAATATTATTTTGGAATTTTTAACCCACTTCAAACTAAAGAGGAGCTACTCAATTCGACTGTATCTTTTTATGTGTGTTAGCGCAAAACTTTTTTCTAGGTGAACCGATTTTGATAATTCTTTTTATATTTGAAAGCTGGTGCTTCTCATATGATCCCATATATAATTTTCATCTAGATCTGACCAGTAGTTTTTGAGTTATCCTTAATAATACGTATTTAATTGACTACGACTACATTGATGATGTTCTCATTTTATTTCTATTGAAGTCGGTTGTACAAAATTTTTAATTTTGCCACTTGTAAATAAAGCAAATTCACGAATTAACATTATGCTGTTCTATCCGAGTACTAATCGCCTCGAACCATAAAAGCCACTTTTCCTTATTTGAAGTTAATTAATTAATTCAAGATGGATGGAAAACCGCTAAAGTTTTAAGACGCTGGGAATTAACTTGGCGGTATTGCCAATGATAGTGTTTTTATCTAAGTAAGTAAGTAAGTAAATGCTGAAGCCATAGACATCTAAATCGATCCTTGATTAAGAATCAAAATGCTTACGCATGACACCATTACGGTGAAGACTAAGATGAAATGCCTCGTTTCCAGCAAAAATGGTCTTCGGTTCTCTACATTCACTAAACGAAACACAGGAGCATCACGCTGGTATTATGTGAGAGCTTGGTCTTTCACCTTGGTTGCAGAATTGCTTTAGCACCTGTAAATTAATCTGTATAGTAAAACAGTGTTAGTTTGGTAATATCGTTAATGACAGTGTCTACAACTTAAGTCGATGGGTGATATTATAATTAATGTTAATATTTCTTCTACAGGTCCCGTGTGCGGTGGGAAATGTTGCGGTCGAATACGGGAGACGCAGCTCAGAGACGTCCTTAAAAAAATGATGGAAGATCGGGCAGTATCGGCTACGAGACCCATAGCGGAGTTACTGCTTGCTACGAGGCGAACGTTACAAGGTATTAAATTCTAAACTGATTGAGTAAAATGGATACCAAAACACAGATTACTAATGACCATGATCTAAAAATAGTACCACCATATCTATACTAGCACTGAAAATTTCGGGAATCAAGGAAGTGACACAACATTACTATTTAAAAATGTATTTATTGCTTTTCGAAGTATTCTCCGCGAAATTTGACACATTTTTTCATACGATGGAACCAATCATTGAAGCAACCATTCCATTCGGAAGTTGGGGTCTCCAAAATGGCTATTTTGTAGGCGTCCACAGCTTCTTCAGGTGATGAAAATCTCTGTCCACGCAATTTATTCTTTATTTTAGGGAAAATATAGAAATCATTAGGGCTTAGGTCAGGGCTGTACGGCGGATGGTCTAATAATTCTATGTTTTCTTGCTCTAAAAACTCTTTTGTTGTGTGTGCGGTGTGAGAACTCGCATTGTCGTGATGGATGATGATGCGGCGGTTGCAGTTCTCTTTACGGAGTTCAGAAACGACCTGTGGCAAAGAAATGCTAGCATACCATTCTGCATTAACCGTTCTTTGTCCCTCTAGAGGAATAGTTGTAACATGGCCGGTTTTGGAGACAAACGTGGCCACCATTTTTTTTGGAACACTCCGTGAACGAACAATTTTTGTTGGCTTTAACTCATTTCCGAACACCCAAACTCGTGACTGGTTTTTTGTTTCGGGTTCGTACGCATATATCCAGGATTCGTCACCTGATACGATGTTGTATACAGCATTTGAGGATCCTGCGTGGACTCTTTCGAGAGTTCTGACGCACCAAGTAACGCGAGCCGCTTTTTGCTCTTCACAGAGCGAATGCGGTATCCATCGGGAAAACAAGTTTTTTACACCTAATTGTTCAGGAAAGATTATTTGTATTTGACCCATGCCAATGTCTAAAGTTGCCTGAATTTCGCGGTATGTCACATGTCGATCTTCCTCAATCAGCTTACGCACAGCATCAACGTTTTCTTGGGTGACTGCAGTTTTTGGATGACCTTGACGGGGATCATCACTGAGCTTGACACATCCACGTTGAAATTCAGCAAACCAGCGATAAATTGTGGTTTTGGATGGGGCTTCATCACCAAATGCAGAAATCATCCGGTCTACACACTGTTTTTGTGTTAAAACACTTCAAAAGTCATAACAAATCATCGCTCCTGAATTTTCTCGAGTCAATTCCATTTTCTCAACGACTAAACAAGTTTGACAAAACCTTGTGACAAGACCGAGAATCTTTTTTTAAATAAACAAATGGTATTCGATTTTTAAAACCAGGGTGTTTTCAATTAAAAAGATTTTAATATGACAGGAACAGTGGAAATATTCTATTCCCGATACTTTTAGTGCAGCCTATGTAATCTATACTTATTAATATAATAAAGCTGAAGAGTTTTTTGTTTTTTTGTTAGTTTGCTACGCGCTAATCTCTGGAACTACCAGTCCGATTTGAAAAATTATTTTTTGTATATTATAGCCAGATTCATGTGGAATAGTATAGGCTACCTAGCATTAAGCTATATTACTCAGCTAGCCTTAAATTGGGATATTTGTTAAGTAAGTCAGAAGAAATAACACTCCCGAAATGATTTATCCGCGTACGCTGGTGTTATCGTTAGGCATACGTAAATACAATGTTGTAGAAAAATATAGACCTTTCATCATCATCATCATTACAGCCCTTCACAAATCCACTGCTGAACATAGGCCTTCCTGCATATCTTACCAGGTCGTCACTCCATCTAGTGGGTGGACGCCCTACACTTCGCCTGCCGGTACGAGGCTGCCACTCGAGAACCTTTCTTCCCCATCGGTTGTCGGTTCTTCGAGCTATATGGCCGGCCCACTGCCACTTCAGCTTACTAATCCGTTGGGCTATGTCGGTCACTCTGGTTCTGCTGCGGATATCCTCATTTCTGAGTTTATCACGCAGAGAAACTCCGAGCATAGCCCTCTCCATAGCTCGCTGAGCGACCTTGAGCTTCCTCATCCGGCCAGCAGTGAAGGACCACGTCTCAGTTCCGTATGTCATCACTGGCAATACGCACTGGGTGTACAGTCTCGTTTTCAAGTTTTGAGGTATACCTGACGAGAAGATGTGCCGTAATTTCCCGAATGCTGCCCAACCGAGTTGAATCCGTCGATTGACCTCTCGGTCGAAGTTGGACTTACCTAGTCGGACTATTTGTCCCAGGTAAACATACTCGTCAACAACTTCGAGCTTAGTGTTCCCAACAACTACCGGCATAGGTGTGACATGGACATTAAACATGATCTTTGTTTTGTCCATGTTCATCTTAAGACCTATCCGTTGGGAAACACTATTGAGGTCATTGAGCATAGTGCTTAGGTCCTCCAGCGATTCTGCCATAAGGACTATATCGTCGGCAAATCGAAGGTGAATGATGTACTCGCCATTGATGTTGATACCGTATCCTTTCCAGTCCAGAAGCTTGAAAACATCTTCCAATGCAGAGGTGTAAAGAGTTTCGGGGATATGACGTCACCCTGTCTTACACCTCTCTGCAATTGGATAGGTTTCGTACTCTGGTTCTGTACTCGGATAGCCATCGTAGCCCTACTGTACAAGCACTTCAACACTTCGATATACCGACAGTCAACTTGGCATCGCTGAAGGGACTGCAGCACCGCCCAAATTTCGACGGAATCAAAGGCTTTCTCATAATCCACATACGCCAGACATAGTGGCAAATTGTACTACTCGGACTTCTGTACAATTTGCCGAAGGGTATGTATGTGGTCTATGGTGCTAAAGCCTTTTCGGAAACCGGCTTGTTCGGGAGGCTGGAAGTCGTCAAGTCTGCGCGCGAGACGATTCGTAATGACTCTCGAAAACAGCACATAGACGCGGCTCAGAAGGGAAATCGGTCTGTAGTTCTTCAAGAGAGCGTTGTCGCCTTTCTTGAAGAACAAGACCACCGCACTTCTGCTCCACGCCTCCGGTGTAATGCCACCATGGAGGACGGAATTAAAGAGCTTCTGAAGGACTTCAAGTACCGGTTTTCCACCCGCTTGCAGAAGCTCCGCTGTAATTCCATCCTCACCTGGGGCCTTGCCGTTTTTAAGGTGCTGGAGAGCCATTCTAATCTCGCTCAGACTGACGTCCGGGATATCATCGGAATAATGTCGGATAAGACTCGCTCTTGGATCGTTACTCACACTTGCGTGTGGCTCCAACGATGATGTGTACAGCTGCCCATAGAGCCTCTCAATCTCACTCAAAATCTCAGGTGCCCTGGAAACGATGCTGCCACATTCGGTCTTCAGCTTTGACAGTTGGCTCTTTCTGGCAGACAGATCTCTGGCAAAGACTTTGGAGCCTTGGTTCCGCTCGATCGCTTCTTTAATACGAGCTGTATTGAAGTTGCGTAAGTCCCGCTGCATGCATTTGGAGATCTGTCTGTTCAGTTGCTTGTATGCTGTCAAATCTGTTGAAGAATGTAGCTTCATCTCCCGTCTAACAGCCATGAGATTAAGAGTGTGATCGGAGAGTTTTTGTGTTCTTGTGCGGCGGGTCTTGCAGAACTTAGCTCCGACCGCATGGACAGTTTCCACGAGCTTGTCATTCAAATCGTCCACTTCATTGCAGTCTTCTAGGCACTGAAAACGGTTTTGTAACTCGAGCTGAAAGGTTTCGGGACTTTGGATTAGAGCACGAGGGGGACGGAGCGTTGACTTCATTAGACGAGACCTCTCCAACTTAACGTTTAGGTTCAGTGTGCCTCTCACCATTCGTTGATCGCCGCGGTTTTTACCCTCGCGATCACTGGGACATCACTGAACAGTTGTCGTCTGGTCGTCATAATAAAGTCAATCTCATTTTTTGTCGAACCGTCAGGGCTCGACCAGGTCCACTTCCTGTGGGGCCGCTTCTGGAAGAAAGAGTTCATCATAAAGAGTCCCTCTTTCTCCATGAAGTCGGCCAGCTGCTGGCCCCTTGGGTTCCGTTGCCCTATTCCAAATTTCCCACTTTCAGCTCACCGTTCTCTCTTGTGCCTAGTTTTGCATTGAAGTCTCCCATTAACACCGTATATTGGGTTTTGGAGGAATGCATGGCTCTAGAGATATCCTCATACATTTCCTCCACCTCCTATTCGGGGTGTGCCGAGGTTGGTGCGTAAACCTGTATGACCTTCAGCGAATACCGTTTGGTGATTCTGAGTATAAGGTACGCAACCCTCGTCGACACACTCTCAATCTTTACAACGTTGTTAACGAGAGACTTGTGGACGATAAATCCGACACCTCCTTGGGACAGATGGTCGCCCTCCCGGTAATAGAGCAAGTTGCCGGATTCGAGGATTACCGTGTCCTCCCCCTCTCTTCGGACTTCGGATAATCCTATAATATGCCAGCGCAACTTGTCTATCTCTTCTTCCAGCTCCACGATCTTCTCGTCAGTCCTCAGGGTGCGTGCGTTGTACGTTGCCAGGTCGAGTCGTCTAAAGTGGCAACCGAACCTCCACCGGAGATTCTTAGCACCCCCTGCCCCGCCGTTACCATGGTCGCCACCGTAGCCAGGAATAGCGGGGCCGCCGGGGACTGGGGGCCGTCTCTTCGTAACTTTCATCATGGGGGGTATATTGCCATAGTTGCCACGCTTGGCGAGCGGGTTGGCAATCGCAGTTTTTTATTGTATTTTTGCCGTTACCAGGAAGATGCTGCTGCCCATCCCCTGCCCGTTTCCCTTTGTCGCCTTTTACGACACCCACGGGAAGATATGGGGTAGTGGATATTCTTAACCGCCACTACACGGTTAAACCTTTACTCCCTCTAAAAAAAGTCCGCGATACCATATGTCTATTTCTTATACATAAGCCATAATTTGGTATTTTGTGACAAAAAAATATTGAAAATTAAAAGTGATTTATGAGCGTTATTATTAGGCATGGCCTATTTATCCTTATGAACGAAAGTTACAGACAATTTTATGAAAATAAACTTTGTTCTTTATGCCATGT